GGCGCCTGTAGGAGCAGAGCCTGCTGAGATGGGGTGTGGGGGCCGTGGGTGGGGTGGGGGGACCCTCTCTGCCCCAGGAGCTCCCCACATCGCTCTGCTGGCCTCGGCGCCCGGGTGCCAGCGCCGTCCCTGCCTCGCAGAGCTGTGCCTCGATGTGGTCGGATGCTGTTGAGCCCAGGGCTGGAGCATCACACCCACAGCACAGGGAAGGAGCTGGGTTCCCTTCATCCCCTGCCTGCAGGTCCTGCCTGCACCCGTGATTCCCTCCCAGGACAGCTCCAGGCAGGACTCCAGAAGGAATGGGCAGTGACGGGCACTCAGGTCCTGAGCAAGGGGACATCCAGCACAGCCACAGCAGGGCCGTCCCTCACTGAGCACAGGGGACCATGGCTGGGGCAGAGAGACAGCACTTACCTTCTCCTGCAGGTTCCCCACGTAGCCCAGGTAGAGGCGGGAGCCCTCAGTCAGTGAGAGGATGAGGAAGACGGTGACCAGCAGGAACTGGTAGTGCCAAGGCAGCAGGTGGTACTGTAAAGGGGGGACAGCCTCGTCCCAGCCAGCCCCGTCCCTTGCTCCCCGTGCCCACCTCCCCATGCCCTTTGCCCTGTCCCCTGCGCCTCATGCCCTGTGCCCAGCTCCCAATGCTCCACCAGCTCCCGCCTGTGCTGGTGCCCAGCCCTGCCCACACTGCACTCCCAGTTTGACCTTCCCTGCCTGGAAATTTCAGTGGTTGTTCTCATGATTTCCATTCCTGGCAGCCAGAGGTGAGCCGTCTTGTCTTGTGCTGGACAGGGCATTGCTCATGTGTGTGTGGACCGATTAATTTTGAAGAGGCTCCCCTCTCCCCCTCTCGACGTGGCCCCTGCGTACCCAGGGAGGTTGGGCAGAAGCAGGCTCCCCCCACCACCACCTGCCCCGCGGGATGGTACCTTCAGCTGCAGCATCATCCCCTCAGCCAGGCACCAGACGGGGAAGTAGCAGACGTTGAAGTAGAGCATCATCTGGAGGGGCAGGCTGGCCAGCGCCTCGTGGGCTAGGCAGGGCAGGCAGGGGTGGGCAGGGCTGCCCAGAGGGAGGCCCAACGGCCCAAAACCCCCCTCTGCTGCTGAGCCCTGCTGCCCGTACCTGGGTGGTAGGTGTGGGCAGAGCTGCTGT